CGCACATATCCGAAGACCACATATAAACTCTCTGCACAATACCCGTTACACGCTCAGAACCTTCATTTCTCATGCTGGTAGGAAGCGTGTTCTTTGTTGAAGGCTGTTTCATGGCTTGGTGGCCAGGTTGTGGGTGATACACGTAGACGGACTGTCGTGGCTGTCAGCCGCTGCGCCCAGTCCCAGAACCAGACAATTAACGAGTTCACAGTGGGGAGAAAGGAGAGCGAGAGCACATTCCTTACCGTAATAAATTTGACGCGTTCTGAAACTACATTGATGCGCTAGAAGTCGTGACTTGGACAGCTTCGAACTAACGGGATAAGTCGGTTCTCGCGGTCAATCCTATGTCTATGCGTGGAATGGCTGGCTGGTGCAACAACTCCTTCGTGGTGTGGCCTCTGTAGAACTCCCACCCGCCCATCCAGAGGGCCTCCCCCTGTTACTGTGAGAACCTGGTCCATCGTGCGTGCACCAGCCATGTGTGGCGCGCAAAGACGGGCCGTTAAGTCATACCAGTCATTGCGCTCGATCACGCCTTCGGTTGTCCTGACTCTGCCTTGCCACCGGACCATGACTGTGAGCGGCGAGAGCGTGCGGCGGCTGCTTCGCAAGTCTCTCAGCGTTATAATATAGTTCATGCGCAAACCGTCCTATGCCCGCAACGCTGTGGCAAACATCGTCGTTCGCAACGGTCGAACTGACACTTTTCTGGGTCCGTGACGTCTTACTAATCAAGATTACGGATACTACGACCTTTAATAGGCACTAAGCAGACAAAGTCGACGATATTCCACTTCGGGGACTTTGCCCTGCTACTAGGCTGATGGGAACAAGCTGGAGAGCCCATAGTTTACAGTCTTCAGCCAAGACTGATCGGCGAACACGGTTTTCACATAAATGCGATGGACATCAATGTTTGACGGCCCTCTGGGTCTGGCTTGAGACCGCGGACGAGCCAACGCTTGGGACTGGAATACCATCTGCTTAGTGCCTATTAATGGTCGTAGTATCCGTAATCTTCATTGGTAAGACGACTCAGAACTGAAAAGCACCTTTAACAGGCTTTGAAAAACCAGTCAACTGATGCTTGTTACGTGTCTCAATGCTTAGACGGTACCAAGAAAGGGAATGCTGGTAACTTGCTAATCTTTCGGCTGAAGCTTGAGTGGTTTACGCTGTGATGGTGTAGTAAGTCAGAACACGTATCCGACTAGTTGCATGGTACTGTTGATTAATGCACCGTACCCCGAGCACGGGTATTAGCTAGAAATCCAGACACTTAATTCGCTGGATGACGCAGCCGCGAGGGATCCGGCTTATCAGAGCAGCTCTGGCATTTACTATTTGCTCACTGGCATACACTTCAGTTTTCAGTATTCGCTTTTTCGATTTCGCCTGGAATTACTGTGCGACCTTGGAGTCAGTTCTTCGGGAAAAACCTTTTAAGACGCCGTTTGGGAAGAGTCCTCTATTTTATATGGGTTTTTCAATGAGGGAAAAAAGAAACAGTAGGGACCTCATGTAGGACTTGTGCATGTTTAGGGGACATTTCAAGCGAATGTGACCGTAATAGGTTGCATCTGAAAACATTAGCCTTGCATGCCAGCTCAACCTCCATGTCCTACGCGAAAATGCACTTATACGTTCCTGTCAATGTTCCATGATCTCTAGGGGCACTATCCAGTCAATAAAATGAGATCGGGATAGCTACCCAAGTAACTGGAAATTTTAAAGATTGGTTAAAAAGTGTTAGAGCAGTCATTGATTTAGACGGAGATGTGATAACATAGCCGCCTTGAAAACTAACTATGTTAACAATAGAAGCGAAGAGCCGAGTCTCAGGAAGCAGTCTTGAAGAAGAAGACACGATCGCCGGGACAAGAGCTTTATTCGCCTGACGTTTCGGATTCCTGCTCGAATCCATCATCAGAGACAAAAGCAGATAAGGGTGGCTCATGCATACGAGGCTGCAGTATTTATAGGATACAGTAGCCATGCTACCGCATACCTATGAATATTCACGGCTTCCCCCCCCCACCCTTCATCAGGGATCGCCGCACGTAACGTGATGGCCGACCTTCGCGTCGTTAATTGCTGCAATTTCATCACGTGCGTTGGATGCTGGTGTGATGATTGCTCGCCCATCTGACGCGCTGACCCGGGTGTTGGGAAGAGTGTTCACCTGTGCGCTCCCCGCGTGGCCAATTACTCCGTCTAGGCGAAGTCTCAGCACCGAGTATTCAATGGGAAGATCATTGCACTTGTTAATAGACTGGGGGCCTGTAAACCATGACTCAAGCAGCTCCCGGCTCACGCGGTTGTCACCTCTTGCGAGCATTTCGGCCTCGTCAAATTTGAATGTGTGGCCGGAACCCGTCGAATGAGCCGCAACTTGAGAGCTAGCGTCATTCCTCCGCACCGCTGCAGCATGTTCGGTCATTCGCGTTAGGAGTTGTCCTCCGGTTTCTCCGACGTAGTTGCTTTGTCCTCAACTGCACCAGATCCGATAAACGACTCCAGACGTTTCTTGCCGTGGCAGTAGGTCTTTCGATTTCATTAACTGACGCCTGATGGCTACCTCAGGTCTGTGTGCAACTCCAACCCCAAGTGGTGCGAGAGGGCGGCCAATAGCTTCCTAAACGTTCTTGACATACGGAAGCGCCCGCCAAGATTTCGTGTCCGTGCGGTTAGGTCTTTCGTCCCTTTTGCTTATGCACCGGTTGACAAAGTTGCTCGGGTAGCCATTGGCTTTGAAGTCCCGTCGGAGTTATGGTAGTTCGGCAATCTTGTCTTCCGACCCACTGCAGTGCGTTTCAATACGCCGATAGAAGGTCCATACACAACTGCGTTTGTGGCTGATTGGGTGGTTACTGTTGAAGTTCAGTGCTTGCATCTTATTTGTCGCTTTCCTGAACACTTTGGTTTTTAGTCCACCACAATCCTTGCGGCATACGAGGACATCCAGGAAAGCCAGCTGGTTGTTCTCTTCCTCCTCCATCGTAAATTGTATGTCCGGGAAGACCGCATTCAGATGTTCTTTGAATGTCAGCAGTTTATCCCGGTCGATAACGACGAAGGTATCATCCACAAACCGGGCCCAGAACTTCGGTTTGTGGTGTTGGAAGACCAGCGACTCTAACCGTTTCAGGACCGCCTCGGCGATGAACCCCGAAGTCGGCGAACCCATTGGTGTGCCCTTCACCCGTTCATAGATTGTCCCGTCGAACGTGAGGTACGTCCTGAGACAGAACTTCAGGAGCTGAAGGACTTGGGCGCACCCAAGACGATTTTCCGTCTCATCGTATTTGCTTTGTAGAAGTAGCTCGATTGTCTCAATCGTCAGGTCCTGGGGAATAGAAGTAAAGAGGGATGTAACATCAAGAGATACCATGACCTCATTTGGATGCAGGCTTGCCCCTTTGAGTTTCTCCAGGAATTAAGCTGAGGAAGAGACCGTGGTGTCTGACTCAGCGGTCAGGAAATTGAGACGCCGGAACAGCCACTTAGCCAGTCCGTACGTTGGAGTACCTTTGAGCGACACGATGGGTCGGAGAGGAGCGCCGTCTTTGTGCATCTTAGGGAGGTCATAGAATCGGGCCAAAGCCGTATCTTGGGGTCTCGCCATGAGTCTGTTGGTCGGCGTTATTGCACCTGAGTTCTCCAAGGCCAACAACGTAGCATTAATTTCGCGTGTCAGCGCTTTTACACCGACCGACAGACGCATGACGAGACCCCAAGATACGGTTTTGGCCCGATTCTATGACCTCCCTAAGATGCACAAAGACGGCGCTCCTCTCCGACCCATCGTGTCGCTCAAAGGTACTCCAACGTACGGACTGGCTAAGTGGCTGTTCCGGCGTCTCAATTTCCTGACCGCTGAGTCAGACACCACGGTCTCTTCCTCAGCTTAATTCCTGGAGAAACTCAAAGGGGTAAGCCTGCATCCAAATGAGGTCATGGTATCTCTTGATGTTACATCCCTCTTTACTTCTATTCCCCAGGACCTGACGATCGAGACAATCGGGCTGCTTCTAAAAAGCAAATACGATGAAACGGTGCGGAGGAATGACGCTAGCTCTCAAGTTGCGGCTCATTCGACGGGTTCCGGCCACACATTCAAATTTGACGAGGCCGAAATGCTCGCAAGAGGTGACAACCGCGTGAGCCGGGAGCTGCTTGAGTCATGGTTTACAGGCCCCCAGTCTATTAACAAGT